GTAGATCTCTTCTTCTGGTTCTTCTTCAGATGAATGGGTTAGTGAATATACGTGTGTGTCTCTCTCTCTATCTCTCTATACTTGTATATGAACGAGAAAGAGAGAGAGAGATAGAGAGAGGATTTAAAAAGAATGATAGGAATATATACCTACTGGCGAAGAAAATGACCTTGGTCCCACGCGGCCATTGGCCGGTACCACAAGAAACGTTTCGGTGATTGGCCCTAAAATGTTTTCTAGTATTTCTACGAGCTTATTATTCATTTCATATGTATGCGTTTATATGTGTGTGTGTGGATGTGTGTGAGTTGCGTGCGTTTTACAAAGTACTCGTGCGATAAAAAGAAAAAGATAGGGATAGAGATAGGACGATGAGGAAGAGGAAGAGGAGAAGAAGGAGAAGTAAAAGATGAAGGAAGAGAAGGGATTGGTGACTGAGTGGTAAGGTGGGAGGGAGGGTGGGTTATGCCAAAAGGAGAGAAGGAAACATCTACCCGTTTGCGTTCTCTTCTTGCATCGACGTCGACCTTGTCAGGGCATTGACCGTCGTTTTTTTCCCTCCGGCTAAAATTCACCTTCCAATCGGATCACTCGGCCTTATCTTTTTGCAAAGCCTCGGGATGTACATAGTTCATATATCTCTATGTATGTAATGCCTATATACCCGCACGTGCACACGTTATTATGTATCCTCGTTCTAAATTCGTTGATTTCTTTAATTCGACTTTGTATGATTGGTAAGTAATTGGTGAGAATTTATAAAATGCAAATTTTCTACAATGTTTTTTTCTTTTCTTTTTTATGAGTCTTATATTTTATCATTGAGGTTTTTTTTTTTTAAGTTACCAAAGTATGAAATGCGATCGAAATACTTTGGCGGATAATAATTGCGAAATATCGCATATTAAATTATTCTTCTTGATTATTAATTACATCGATATAATAATCGATAGTTTTAGAATCGTAGAAACTCTTTCCCTCTCTCTCCCCCTCTCCCTCTCTTTCTTTTTTTCTGGTAGAGATCGTGAATCGTTTTGTCGGAAGTAGGAGATCGTGAGTTTTTACTGGCTGGCCTTGGAATACGAATAGACCGGCCTAGAAGAGTGCATTGCACCGTTGCTCAATTCCGCGTTCTTTATTTGCAAATTTTTGCTCCGACCGGTGCCAAAGGATAGCCGAGTATCTTGACCCCCTTTATTCTCAGAAGGGGAATTTTTTTTATTAAAAGGAAAGAAGAAGAAGAAAAAAAACACAACAAAATCATTTCAGTAAGAGATTCCAAGTTCAGATAAATATTTTCTAACATAGCAGAAGATTTCATCGTTCCGATTGAACTTACATACAAGTGTATATGTACATGCACGTACGTCTATACGTATAGATTATTAAGAAGATTTCTTAAGATTTGAGATTTCAATCATTTATTTATAGAACATTTAAACTCGTTAGAAGAGTAATGTACAGATATTTGTAAGTAATAGATCATACGAAATAGTAAAGCGAAATATAATAGAATCGAGAGCAAGCATAAACGGAGAAGATAACCTTCGAATATCAATAAACATGGTAAATACGTACGTACATACACACACCACACATATACACATACACACACACTACACATTTGGAAACGTCGCGCGTGTCTCTTCTTATCGCATGCCACTACTCCGTTCATTCAACATGAAACTTACTCGCACTTCGTTGCCTCTTTCGAGTCGTTCGATGACTCGATGACGGTACGGTCGCATGTTATGAACACGTTCCCGAGATTCTCTCTCTCTCTCTTTCTCGTAACTCACATAATTCTTTTGACGAGTATTTCTTTTTCTTTTTTTATTTATACAACGCTTTGCCCCGCGCACGTATCCTGCATTACTTACGAATAATCAAAAGGTTTAATCGAGATAGAACAACAAAAGATTACACGTTAAAAGAAAGATAATAATATTTTTAATAAATATATTATAAAAACACAAACGAATTATAGATTTAAAAAATGGATATACTCTGTTTGGCAAATACAAAATATTTATCATTGGAAAAAACGTAATAGTATGATGTAATTTGGCGTATTCGATAAGAGTTAATATCTTTCAAATAATAA